TACAAAATATGTATTTATTTATGGGCTGAAAATAAATATATACAAAGTAATTTTAAAAAATTTCCATTTATTTGTATCAATAAAATATTCATCTTATCTTATTTAAACCAAATAACACACAAGATGCAAATAAACATAACAAATAATACTAGGTAAGCAATGATTTAGAACAAATGGAGGTAAAAAATGTTAACAACAGGTAAATAATCAGACAGAGTTAATCTACCCTACCTTCAACTTTGACCTGCACCATGCAGAAATCTGAGTTTCCAGATGAGTCCGTCACCAATATCACTACTGTGTAGACTTCACCAACACTGCTTCTGTCTACTGTTAGTTGGCTTGGAGAGTAGGAGATGTTGACCTCACTTGAACTCTCAGACAGGTACACAATAAATTGTGTCAGATCAATGGACCTAACATCAGAGCTGTTCTGAAGTGTGAGAACAAACGATGGGACACATTCTAAGGTTGGGGGGTCCTCATCTACAAAAGGAGGGGAACAAAGATAATCAAAATAATAACAGAAAATAGCTAAATAAGTGAGCAATTTTTTAAATCAATCTAAGTGGTCTGCTTGCAGACTTTCAGAATCACACTGAAATGTCCATGAAGATGTCTGTCTATGTTACAATATTGACCTCTGGTCCTGATGTCTCTGCTTCAGAATTTACCTCTTATCCGGATCTCTATGGTACAGTTGGCCACATTGCCAGCTGCGTCGTCGGCCTGGTACATCAACATCATGTCACGACTAACAATTTGTCGCATGGAGTGGTTGATTGGAAAACGTGTCAAACTTGTCACCTTAAGTTTGAAAAAAAAAATATTCTTAAACGTTAAATGACAGAAACTTAATGTTTCTTGAATTTCTTAAAGTTACACTAATTGTGTGCTGAAACATCAAAATATCATCTAATATCACGATTTTGTGATGATATTGAACAATTTTAAGAATTTGGGGGTAAACAGGTCTGCATTTAGTTTTCCATGTAATTTGAATTTGTTTATTGTTCATTATAAATAAAATATTAACCTTTGACCTAAAAAATACATGTGCACATTCTCAATCAAACATTTGAATCTCAAGTATGAAAAAAAATTTTAAAAAATGATTAAATCAAACATTTGAATTTCAAGAATGTAAAAAAAAAAAAAAAAAAAAAAAAAAAAAAAAAAAAAAAAAAAAAAAAAAAAAAAAAAAAAAAAA